ATGGCAGGCGCGGTGGCCACCAGGGTGACCTGCCCGACAGGCGCTGGTCACCCGTTCGCACACGCCGCTGGTGACCTCACAGCCTGGGTCGTACACCGTCCGCACACCCTGTACCTGTACCGTCCGCAGAAGGCAATTCCCCCCTTTGGCCCAACGCACGCCGACGTCGCGCCTGCGACTGCCTCCGTCACCGACATCCGCCTCGATCACAGCCGCGCGGGCGGCACATTGCTGGTGTTGCGACCGGGAGAGCATCGCGGCTGGCACGGCACATAGGAGGCATTCGGCGGCGTGGCTGGCGCGACCTGATAGCGAGGTGAGTCTCCTCGCGCTCCTGTTCCTCACTCTTTGACTCTCGCGCGCCGCCGCCATGAACAGGTCCTACGACGCGTACTGGCAGCACAGCCTCGTGCCGCTGCCATCCCTCTCCTCCCACAACCTGCCCACCCTCTGCTTCGAGCCGATCCCCGGTGCCGGACCCAAGTACCAGTGCACGAAGACCCTCGAAGTGCCGACCGTTATCCGCGGCAGCGAGCGCACGAGCGTCGCGGCAGAGTTTCATGTCGTCGGCCAGATCGCCCCCGAGAGCCGCGTCGTGCACACTACGGACACGCACGGCCATTCGCAGCTCGACGGCAGACCCGTGACGTATGTCGCGTTCTGGGTAGAAGCTCGCCCGGACGTGACGAGCCGCGTGCAATGGGAACGCATGCGCCCCGTTCTGGAGCGGCTCACCGAACGCGCGCCGCAGCCGGTCGACACCTCGCGGTTCATCTCCGTTGACCCCGAGAGTGGTACGCTGAGCCTCCGCGTCCTTGGTTTCAAGGTGCACGGAGAGGAGGAGGTGGGTTCTCGTGCCGCTGCCGATGACCTGAGTGTGGCGCAGCCTCTGACTGATCGCATCTCAAGGAGCCGGGCTTCCCTCTCTACAACGACGATGGCTCGTACATCGACATGAAGACCGCCGATGACGTCCCCGACGAGGCTGTCAACGTCATCTTTCGGATCAAGTGCACGACCATGTCAGTCTCGAATCAGTCCGCGGATCAGGCACGCAGCAACGATGTGCGCGGCGGGGGACGCTCGGTACTTGCCATGCATGGGTCAGTCACCTATGTATCTCGCGTCTAGTTGTATGCTGTCCGCCTGAGGTTGTACACGACATGTTGGCATTGTGAACCCTTAGTACTTTAGCTAATAATTAGCCAGTGTCCGGTCTGCATTGAACACGTTTGTTATTAGTCACTGCAACCATTAAGCACAGCTGTTAAGTACAACTACGAGCAAGTTTACTATACGATAAGCCATGACAATTGTCAGCTGCTAACACCCTGTGTACGACAACCCTGCCTTTGCGAGTACCTCTTTCAAACCGGCGTTACCATGGTCTGCTAAGAAGCGCGGAAACATGTTCGGCTTCGACTGATATTGCGAGTAGTGCTCGTGCACAAAATTGACCACGTGGTGCACTGTCCACCGTGGCTTTGCCTCCATCAAGCGACTGAAGAGAAGGACGACTTTCTTGCGTCGCCCGTGCTCAGTCTTGAGGCCACCTTCGTTGCGCCTCCATGTAGCGCCCCATTGCTCATCGAGCGCACGTGTTGAAAGGTGCCCGTTGAGACCGTCTGCATGCTCTGTCCAGAAGTCAGTGATCTTGTCAACCTTCTGGTACCTGTACACAGGCAGCCAGCGATTGTCTCGCCACTCCCACTGGTGTCGCTCCAGCAGCGCCTTCGGAAACTTTGATAGCAGCTCAAGCCACTGCTGCGAAGCATTCATGTACTGCGTTGGTGGAACAGGGTTTGTGACCGGTACAGGGATGACGGCAGCAGCCTGACGAGGCAGCGAGGCAGCTGCTGAAGACAGTGGCAGTACGGAGGGCCCAGGAGGCATCGGCAGCGACGCAGAAGGAGCGAGCATTGGAGCAGGGGTGACATCTGCAAGCGGCAGATCGGCAGGTACGTTGGGTGTAGACAGAAGCATGCCGCTGCCGCTGTACTGGGCAAACACGTGATGCAGTGCCATCGACAGTGAAAGGACACTGGGAGCGACCGTGGGCAGGCCAAGAGGCAGGACAGGCGGAGCGTCAGGCTGTGGAAGGTGCGAGGTGTTGGACACCTTCTCGAAGATGGCTAACTTCACTCGGGACTTGCGGTGTTTGCCTGGCACGTGCAGCTCTTGGATACTCGACTGAATGCTAGCAAGGGAGGACATCATGTCACTGAACCGAGCATCGTTGCGTGCCCGCTCAACTTCGAAGTCGAGTGCGATCTTCTCAGAGACGCCACGGAAGCTGCGAGCGACGTGCTCCGGCAGCTTGTCAAATGCAGCCATGTGCTTCATCTCTGCTGCTTCAATGGCTGCAGCAGACGCGGCAGCAAACTGTCGAAACGTCGGAGTGTTGAACGGTGGAAAGCCAAAGATTGTGCAGCCTGGGTACTGCGTGAAGAGGGCGGCCAGATCTTGCACAAGCACCTTGCGCAGCCAGACGAGCAGCACCAGGAATTGCTCGAGTGCAATGTCCTTCTCAAACTTGCTGTGCTTCTGGCGAGCTTCAAGTGACGCAAGCTCATCTTCGGCCCAGGGAAAGAGAGCGGCAAGAAGCTCCTTCGGTGGTGTCAAGCAGTCTCGGGCAAGGAAGTGTGTCTCTGGGCGTGCGCCGTTGAACATTGCTGAGCCCAGCAAGGCGTCGACAGGGAATGAGCGGTCATAGCAGGCCCGGAATGAACCTGCTTCGTTCCAGCCACCCATCGCCTTGACACCGCCAATACTTCCTCCATGGACACGGGAGTTGACCGCAGCGAACGACCTGGAGGCGTGCGTGACCTTGCTTGTGACAACACCATTGCACTTGTGCATGATGTTGACGCGCTCGCGATGAGCCTCGTACGACATTGGCATCATCGGGCTCTTTGTCCAAAACACGTACATGCTGTACCAGTCGCGCTTGCCATATTCGCCATAGCCCTCTGCCAAGAAGTCAGGTGAAAAGTCTGGGACAGGCTGTTGCAGAATGTGGAAGTGTGCGAAGAACACCATCGCAAGTGCGCCGACCGGGCACAGCTCGACGAGGCGGTGACGTAGTGCGCCATGCTCGTCGACTCTGCCGTTCTGGTTGTGCTTCGCATTGTCCGCAAGTGCTGCCAGGATTGGGACGCTCCGGTCCTTGCGCCCCGTGGTCATGTCATCGAGGACGACGTCAGACTTGAAGAGGTCCGACCACAGCAGCTGGCGCGTGTTGTCTCCCCGAAAGGCAGTTGCCGCAGACAGCAGGAGCATGCAGCGGTCTCGTAGTGCTTTCGAGACCGCGTGCGGGCCCTTGTGGTCTGTGAGCCACCAGACCGAGCAGCGCACGAGGCCCTCAGTTTTGTAGGTGTCGGAAGAGGTCCCGGCGGCCTTGAGGACCTGTGCCGACTCGATGCGCTTTGGCTCGTTGTGCTTCGCGGAGCTCTCGAGCTCGCGAACGCGGTGGTCACTGCGCAAGGGCACCTGCGCATCCCGGTCACTGCGGTACTTGTGTGCCGTCTGTGCACGGAGCTTCTCGAGTGCGGAGATGACTCCGCTGATGTGGGCCTTGCCGAGCGAGGAGCCTGGGATGGTGTCAGAGGCACCAGCCTTCGCCTGCCAATGGTGAGGGTTGTCAGTGCAAGGAACGGCGCAGGGAGAAGTCATGATGCGTACCTTCTTGCCGCGCTTGAGCTCGTGCTGCACGAAGAGCGCGACCTTCGTGGCGGTAATCGGCATCGCGTCCACCACCGGGTACTTCGCGTCGTCTTCGCGTCGTCGTGCCTGATCGAATTCCCACCAGGCCGTGTAATTGCGCTGATGGCGTCCGTAGGTGTCACCGGTGCCTTTGCCAGCGTTGTCGCGATCGAGGGTCTGCTGGAGGGCCGTGCGCGACTCCAAGTCGAGCTCGTCGAGCGCGGTCGACATCTCCTGCGGCGTTGTGAAGTGTGCGGCGGTGGCAGCAGTGCCTGCAAGGACCGAATGGGCATCTGAGTTGGCCAGGCCGACGTCGGTCACTGTGAGCTCCTTCGCCTCGGCCTTCGCGTCGCTGCTAAACACGAACAGCTGCGGGAGCGCGATGCCCTCTGCTGCCGGTGTCGTCGACGGCGATGGCTGAACCAGAGGGGGCGAGATAGATGGCTCGCGGATGTCAAGCCGCATGCGGCGCACAGACGGCACAGCGTCGTTGTCATCTAGGCCATCTTCGGTCGCCGCAGACAAGCGGCTCCGCTTGCGGCTGTTCGCCACAGCTCCTGGTGTCATCGGCGTCCAGGGAAGGAAGGTGGTTGGCAGTCGGGTGGGTTGCATCGTGTCCTCGGTTGGCTGTGCTGTTTCGGTCAGCACTTTGCCACGGGCGCAGCTGTTCAATGGCACGCCGACCCACCTGTCTGCTGGCTGCTGTAGACGGCGCCTGAATGTTGCACGGTGCGTGATGCGGTCGTTTCGATGCAGGTGGCGGCGTGTGCACGCTGCCACTGTAGGCAGACGAGGTCAGCAACGGGCCCTCTGAGTGCGAGCGCGAAGAGCGCGAGGAGCACAAAGTGCACCGTCACGTGGCAGGAAGGGACGGGAGAGACAGGCGCAGGAAAAAACTCACCGTGTGTGCTGTGGACTTGCTCTGGCCGAGCGAGGCCGTCTGTTCGTCGGCGGCGGTGCGAAGTGCAGAGTAGGAAGGGGCAAGGGCAGCGTGCCGGTGAGCAGCCGTCCGAGCTGGTCGGAGTTTTTTCTTGTGTATTGCTTGGCCGCCGCGCGTCGTGCGCTTATAGCCGAGTGCCGGCAGGCTGCGGGTCTTGTTTGTCAGGCGGGACGTGCCAGGGAGGGCCTGGTCTGAGGGCGGCAGACCGTGCGCGCACGGTCTCAGGGCGAAGCAAACGGGCCTCGTTTGCTTCGTCGTGTTATTGGTCGGTTATCCCTGCTGTTGCAGGCCCCGTTTCTGGCTCGACGCGGCTCGGCTGGGGTGGAATCCGTGCGCTGCTGCTGGCAAGCTGCGCAGGTCGTTCGGGGGGTCCTTCTCGAGGTGAGGAAGAATAAAGTAAAGTAACTAGTCGAGGATAGAGTAAAAAAATAGTTGAGTTGTACGGTAAAAAAGGAGACACGGGCGCAGGAGGGTCGACCTCGACGTTCGGGAGAGAGAGGCGAAAAACGGCGCGTCGCGGGCGCGGCGGCACGCGCACGAAAAAGTCAGTCGGCCAATTAACGCGGGCGCTCCGTCCCGGGCTCGCTCGGCTCTCGATTCGGACGGGTTACCGCTTCGGGCGCGACCCCTAGCAACGGGCCGTGTACGCAGGTGGTGACCTCGGTCGCTGGCGACAGGGGTCACCAGCGAGGTGACCAGGGCCAAGT